CGGCACCTTCCGTCGCTGCGAGAGCACCGCTAGGACTTTCGTCCTTGTGCACACGCGACCAGGCTTACTGGCTCACCATCCTGCCGATGGTGTTCGATATTTTCGTTGAGCCTCACTGCCCACAGCGTGTGATGAGACAGTTCGGACTTAGGCAGGTGTTTCCGGGCAACGTGCAGCCGACCGTCCTCCCTGCCGACCACTCGTGAGTTCGGATTGTTCATTTCTAAATTTTTAGGCGGATTACTTCATCGAGCCATATAATTTACCTCTCTTCACAGGTTGACTCGACGGGGACAGCTAGCAGGCGCACTTTGGGCTCCACGTGTACAGCAGTACGTTGACGACTGGGTGTTAGCTACAGAGGAGGTGATCAACAAGCTCTTCCCACACACGGAGGAGAACTACCGTGTCTACCTTCGCTGGTACCTTCCTCGCACTCATGCGCGTGTGACCTTCACTCCAGACGCCCCAGAGCCGCACGTTGCCGCTGTCACGGACGCGTATCCCACGCACCGTGACCGAGACTACTTCGTGGCGGTACGTCCAATTTGTATTACTTCTTACAATTATTTCATTTATCTTGCATAATATAGGACAACTACTGAATTTTTTATTTCCATCTTGCATAGGCTGATGCCGCACGGGATATCAGTGCCGATATCACCGCAGTCCAAATGAGGTTGAACAGAGGTTTGCACTTGACTGACGTTGAGCAGAGGGTGACCTTCGACCGGATGCAGGAGAAGATGCGTGCGGTCATGCGCGTCTTCTCCTGTCACAGCGCCGTGGACGTCGTACCTCCAGCTGGTCCGGTACAACCACGGCCTCGCGCGCCTACCGTCGGAGCAGGACCTCGACCTACGGCACCTGTTTCGCACGGTACTGCTCAGCCCAGAGGTTTCTTAAGTTTTGTTTCTGTTTTTCTACGAAAACATCACCCCGTCGTAACTTGATGTTCCATCCTCGCAGGACCTCGTTTGCCTTCGAGCGCCCCTAGCTTCGGAGCAGTGCGACCTACAGCACCGGTTTCGCACGGTACAGTTCAGCCCAGATATTAGTTCATTTTTGTTTCAGCTTTTGCACGAATATGTCACCATGTTTTAACTGCACGTTTCCTCATCGCAGGACCTCGTCTGCCTTCGAGCGCGTTCGCAGGCACGACCGGCGCTTCCGCGAGCTCCGCAGGGGCGTTCGCCACCTCTTCGGGCGCGTTCGCCAGCTCTTCCTCTCACGGAGCGTCGATCCCTCGCCCACACGGTACTTTACTTTTTATTACTACTGTTAAATACTTGTACGAAACTGATGGTCCTTGTCCAGCAGGATTTGCAGCCGGGATCTTCGGTACTGGGGCCTCTTCGTCTCACGCCGGTAGGACTGGTCCTACTAGCCAGTTCTACGACGACGACTTGCACAGTGCACACCACCACGACGTACTAGGCTCCTCTCAGCTTGGAGGAGCTCCAGAGGCGCACACTCAGGAGCAGCCAGAGGTCACACCTGTACAGGCAGGACGGGTTGGCCGTGCCGTACCCCCGGACCGACTCACGTACTCCCAGGGGCACATTAGGGCGCAGGGTAGGAGGGACAGGGGTAAGAGGCCTCGTCAGTAGTGTTCTACCTCTTCAGTCCTTATGTGACCGTTTCTTTTGGCTTACAAACTTGTAAAGCAGTACTACTTTTGCTATTACTACTGCAGTACTACTTGTGTTTGTCTCGTCTACATAGTTCTTTTCATTCATATGGTGCTAGAACAACTTATGCTCACGACAACACACTTTCGGCGCTTCACGGTAGTGTCAGATCCAGTAGCGCGCACAGTCCACAACAGCACACATGAAAAGCGGCAGCTCGAGTTATCACTATCAACTTTCGGCGCTGCCTGTTGACATAAAGTGAATCACGCCCACGCGTGATCGTCTTGTCACATCTAATGAATAATGTATCTCATTGAGTTCACATATATTGCAGTGAAAACGACGCTATATAATTGACAATCTGAAGGCAACCTCTTCATATCTTCTTTCCCACTAGCACACCACACACGAAAATGGAAGCCTATTCATTGGTAATACGTAATCTAGATTTGAGATTATGTAGAACATTCTTCACTACAATTTTACATTTTGGCAGCAAACCAAATATGATCAAATGCAATTTTACCTTACCAAATATTTGGTAGTGCCAAAACTTGCTTATATTTTGGCACTAACAAAATATTTGTACGGTAACAATCCAAATATGCCCTAAAAAATAATAAAATTGTATTTTACCAGTCTTGGAGATTTTAATCTTGTATAGTTTTCAATATAAAAAGATTTGATAACTATTGATATTTATACAAAAATATAGAGCACAGTATAAAATCGCCCTCCCCCAGGACGGCAAGGGGGCCGCCTGCAAAATTCCATGCCCCCCCGCCGCCCATTTGCAGGCGGCCCCCCCCCACAGTACAAAATCGCCCTAGCGGAGGGCGGCAAGGGGGCCGCCTGCAAAATTCCATGCCCCCCTCGCCGCCCATTTGCAGGCGGCCCCCGTATAAAATCGCCCTAGCGGAGGGCGGCAAGGGGGCCGCCTGCAAATTTCGTTGACGGCCGTCGCCCGAGAGCGAACGGCCGGCTGCCACGTTATTTTCGCCGCCCTCTGGGAGGGCGATTTTTAAAAATCGCCCTCCCAGAGGGCGGTAGGCGACTACTTCCGTCAATTTTCAAAATGGAAAATTATTTTTGTAAAACTTTTAATAAAAAAAATTATAAATAAAAAAAATTCGTCCTATATGTGTCGCTTTACAGGCAAAAATCTACCATGAAATCAGTTGAGCAACGCCCAAGGAAATTCTCAGCTGTCAGAGTTTCAGAGGGGACACCTGAATCGATCGATCGAGCTCCCAAAGCAAAGCTAGGTCGCTCTCAATTCTCCAGCCACTCACATTAACTCTGAATTGAAATCTCAAGAACTGTCAGGCATTCAGGCAATGGCTAAACTTTGGGGTTAGGACCACCTGACCTCAGGATCATTTAGTTATTCAGAGAGTGACCTCACAGCTGTAACCATTTTCGCTGGGAATGTTTCAAAGCATTGTTCAGGCCAAGCAAAGCACACATGTATAATTTGAATTGCCAGTGATCGATTAAGTAGAGCAGTACTTACTTCGCTGCATCAGTAGTGAGATTCTCATGCACTGGTGTGCTCTAAATTGGCTGCCCAAATCTTCATTAGAATTGAAAGCTTCAGTGGACCTCATTTGCTACTACAGGTTTTGCAGGGCAGAGGCACGAGGCAGACAATCCTTCAGAAAATCAGAATGAATCACTGCTTCTTGTTCAGAGATCAGAAATGCCAAGGATACAGTGCTCTGATTCAGTGCAAAGTATGGCAAGTGAGGAATTTCCTCGCTGTTAGTGAAGGAGTAAATCAAATCCATCACATTCACAAGCCACAAGTGGCACTGAAGAATGTCAGAGTGCATGGTTTGCCTCAATTCTACTGTACCACTAGTACTAATAGTAGTATATTTTTCCCCTCTCAGGACAGGAATTGATCCCAAATCAAGGACAGGTTGGGTCTTTCTCTCCAGGCACATAATTTTGCACCATTTTCGAATCGAAAACGTAAGAGGTGGGTTACAATGCTTAGTACAACCAATTTTAGTCTGTTTATTTCATCTAATCCAATGGATCAAATCTATATATACTACCACATCAACTACTGGTAGTAAAAAAAGAATTCTATTGATAATATAATTCATGAATCAGTGGTTACTAATTTATGAATTCATAAATCACTTCTACTAATAATAATACTGGTAACAGAATATTACCAACAAAGAGCACCGTAAAGTTACTTAAGACGTAAACGCTGGTAACAGAATATTACCAACAAAGAGCACCGTAAAGTTACTTAAGACGTAAACGCTGGCTACCCAAATAAAGGAATGGTCAGTAGTTCATCAGAAGGTCACTCAAGATTGTGAGGTGATTCATGTGAGTCTGCCTAGAGAGGACGAAATTCGTTTAGGTTGCTGAATTTAAGAGGGACGGCGCAGCCAGACTGCAGGAGAAACTGACAGCAACATATCGTCATTTCCTCATTGGATTGGAGTGTGCAATAAATAGGAGCCTGCGCTTCTCATTCTTGTGAAAAATGAAAAAAAAAAAAGCTCATGAAAAAAAAAGAACGAGGTTTTATTGCATGAATATGGCTGAAAAAGAATTATGGTGGCATTTCCTCCCCTCTCCAATTTGGCAACAAAATAGTGCAGTGTATATATTATGTACCCTTTCATAGAGATGCTTTTTAGGATTTGTTTATTTTAGTTGCAAAAAGATCTCTTCTTTCAAGATTTAATAACCTTGTGGGACCGCCTATACATTTGTCAACAAATTTTCTTCTAAAAATTTGAAAATTTGACAGATGTAATTATAGTACAATCGTAGTGTAATTACACTGTAACTTGCATGTAACTACAGTGTAACTTGTATATAAGTTTCACGTAATTTTGAATCGTTAGATCTATTATAAAATTTGTTCCGGTGAGGAAGAAAAAAAATCACATCACACACATATGTGAAAGAATTTTTTCTCACAACCTCCATTTTACCGAAATAAATGTTAGAGTAAATTTCACAAAACTACATGTTTTATGGTTCAAGTTGCAGAAAACCACACATATTTTGACACTTGGTACTTAAATACATATATTTTGGTAGTTTAGTTTCACAAAATCATACTATCAATGAATGAATTCACCCATGATATGACGTGGTTGTTTCATCTAGGATATGGACGTGGCATCCTATTAATTTCGTGCGATGGCTGGTAATAGGATGCCATGTCCTTGTCCTAGGTGAAACAACCGCGTCATTTCGCGGGTGAATCTATCCATTGATAGTGTGGTTTTGTGAAACTACACTACCAAAATATATGTACTTAAGTGTCAAGTATCAAAGTGTGTGCGGTTTTCTGCAACTTGGACCACAAAACGTGTAGTTTTGTGAAATTTACTCTAAACGTTATGGAGAGATTTTTGAAAGTTACATACATGTTACATTATAGTTACAGTGTAATTACACTACGATTGTATTATAATTACATCTGTCAAATTTTTGGTGGAAAATTTGTCGACAAATATATAGCAAATTCGTAACCTTGTATATTTTGAGACGACATAATCTTCCAAGGCCCAATTGCAATTTGCAAAAGAACACAAGGACAGGCGGGCCTTCAGGGAAAGGCCACATTTAATTTTGCAGAGGTCTTGCAAGTCCAATGAAGAACCAGCCCATAGCTGAAGCGAGTGTTACTGGGCCATCAAAAAGCCCATTTATCTCTGTTACATTCCGACAAGAATATGCTAAAATTGCGTCAGTTCACTCGGAGCTAGTATGTAATGTATGTAAGCAAATCCGTTGATTAGCAGATTCACTGATTCAGTGGTTGGTTTTGAGGAAGGGCACTTGAAGAGGTGAAGGAACCAGTGCATGGCATTGCCAATAATATACTGTCAACTGCTCTGTTTTGCAATTAGAAAAAAAATGTGCTAACCTACCAAAACAACCACCTCTTCTTAGCTCCCTTGCGCTTGAGAATTTTGGCTTTCTCCCTTCTCCATCCCACGGACCAGTGCTTCCATCCTTTTCCTGCAAAGACAAAAACAGAACAGCGAAAACGCAAACTTGACACGCAAAAACGAAGATGTAAGCCCATTTCTGAACTCAAACAATTGAAATTTTCATCTGGAGTAGCCATTCAAGAAGCACTTAACGTATCAGTGTATAATTTGTTCAATATCCTAATGAGCATGGGTGTAAATATGTTGTAACAGTTCATTCTGCTCTATCAATACATACGAGGCAAAACTTTTGCCCTCTTTTCAAGAGAGAGAGAGAGAGAGAGAGAGAGAGAGAGCATGGGTGGGATAAGGCCCCTTAGGCCTAGTCGGGATTTCTTGCTGTCTCAGATGATAGCTGAATATTCTTAATTGCGAAGTAAAAGAAATTGACAAGGCCTTTATTTTCAGATGTTTACATATTGCAATACAAACCAATCATCTGGATGTGAATAAAGAAACTATTCAAATGCATATGGATTATATAACACAATAATTAAGCACCATTCCTTCACTAGTTTGTCAATATTTGAAGTACATGTTCACAAGTTACAAGTGAGCCCATTCGACTATGACAGAGATGATAAAAACACATGAACAATGCAAGATTTAATACCTCGTATCCTCGAGCTGTCCATGCAAGCTCCATCTCTGGCGAAATCCCTCCATGCCCTCAAGCCCACTAGCAAGAATCATGCGCCTACAGAAGTACGAGACTACATACAAGCAGAACTGATGAAATCATGCCGATGAATTATTAACAAAAACTCAGTACACCTGATGATTTCTTTTGTCCAGTTTAATCTAATCAATACAATTAGAAAAAAAGTCTGTAGGCAATAGGTAGTGTTCTTAAAAGCAAAAGTCTGTAAATCATTTTATACGGTGCTGAAGAGTGGTCACAAGGCAATTTAACGTGTGCTTGGCTTTGTCCCTGGTGCTACTCATTGTCTCGTATGCCTGTAGAACAGCAGAATGCGTAGTATTGGTTACAAGTGTTTCACAGAGCATCGGCTTAACTTAACTAAACAGTAAACACCTAGGGCTCTCAATGTGAAAATTACTGGAGTATAGTGTATATAAGTTGTTTGTCTACATGACTTCTACTTATATGTGGTTTACAGTATCATTTTTAACCCCTTTGCTCTCATCAAAATCTATAAGAACAGGTAGAAATGCAGAATAATTCCTTTGGTGTTAATACAAGAAAATATGTGGGAGAACGAAGGCATATACAATTGGAGTGTGCTATCATCTCTTAATTATAGCCTGAACACTTCGGTGGGTTCACTGAAGCTTAATTTAGAAAGTATAAATAAAAATGAGCTGCTAAGCAGAGAATGATGCTACGGAAATATATAGGGGGGAAGCAATCCTAGTTAGGTTACCTTTCAAGCAATGTGACTTCCAATTGGAGTTGAGTAGTTCTTTCCTTTCCTTCTTCCAGGGGCATCGAAATGCGCAGTTTATATTCACTGTCTACCATCTTCTCTCTTATTTCCTTGTCCTATAAAATAGGATATAAAAGCAACATATTAAATAATAAAAGGGAAAACCACTTGCAGTTTCAAATAGTTCAACATAACCTTACCCTTTTTGCAGCACATTGTCGGTAAAACACAATTTCATCTTGGCAAAAAGGCTCGATGTCATTGATTTGCAGGCCTGTGCCGTATAATATTTTTGCAATAATACTTCCACACACAGAGAAAGAGAAACACGATTTTAAATGTCACAGAAACAGTTAACTCACATAAGAAAAGATTCCTGAGTATACCATCACAGGGCTCAACACCTTGAAGGACATGCGAGGCAATTTCTTTTGGTATGGCAGGGGATGGTGGCTCACGCATGAGATCATCACCAGTGAGAATGGTCTCTTCCATTGTTTCCTGTTTATCGACTATTGGGAAACAGATATGAAACAATAGCATCACGGGCACAAGCAGAAGCCATACATGATCACAAAGTTAGAATCTAAGGCTGGATTCTCTTATCTATTACGTATGAATACACAGCATATTGGGAGATTAGTTATGATTGTAATGTCATGTAGGTAAGTAGTATCTTGCAGATGCTTTATTGGTTATGCAGCTAGAAGAGGATTTTTACCAGCATTCCACCAAACTTGATATCATTTACATGAATGGAGGGGAAATAGAGCAAAGACACCAACTGAGCTAATCAACAAATCTCGGGTATCATTGTGTGCAGCAAATCAGCACAACTTCCAGAAGTTGAAAGCCCAATGGAAGATTATACTAGAGAGAAAAAACTTAAGAGGCACCTGAGAAAAAGATACTATACGATGAGACTGCAATACTGAACATGTCCGGACTGACTCTATAAGGGCTTTGTTCACCGTATTTTGATTACATCCTTTCTTACAATACAAAGATAACAACACAAATTTTATTAAAGTTACCATCATATTCTGTAGGATGATATGGAGTTCATTTTTCAAGACAAGAAATGGACTGGAGAGCTTAGTCCTTATTGTCCTCCAAACCCATATAATTGGCAATCTACTCAGGATGACAATGCTGACAATAATGAATTTCAAAGTGATTTTCACACTGCACATCACTATAATTCAGATCGCCTATCAGTGCAAAAAAAGAGTTCTTTCCTTGTAGTTGCAGTTGTTAAATCCAAAATTAACTCGGCTTACCACTAAATTGCCTGTCATGCAACTACAATCAACCCAGGTCCGCACTAATCACCAACTGCACATTCTATCAGCTAAGACACAAATTATACCCCTAACTAATAAAAACTGTTCTTTCTACTCCCCCCAGACTAACACATAATAACCAGAGAGCAGTAGGAGAAAGGGGATTACAAGAGGGCAAGCGCGTGCATACCGTCCATGATGCCCTAGTAAGCTTTCACGCCGGCGAGCAATCCGACGCGGCAAAATCGAATCAACTCCCTCCAGCAACAAGAGGAACAAATACAATACAGGTTAGCCTCCGACTTCGGGAGCAGAGGCGTGAAGCCCGAAAAGAACGAATCAAATGCAGAGATGGATACCAAAAATGGATCGGAGAGGAGCCGGACGGCGGCGGCCGGCGACCAACGGCGGCGCGCCGTTTGCCGGCGAGGGGATCGGAGGAGGAGGACGACGACGACCTGAGCCCTGAACCACCTGTGGGCCTTCTGGGCTTTTGTTCGCTACTATAGGCCCACACGTCTGTGCCCATGGGCCTGGTTTTCCGGCCCACGATCCATCGGCCCCGATCAACGGCTGTGATTCGACGAGGGTGAGCTAGGGCAGGAGTCCCCGCCTTCCGATGGAAAACGGACGGCGCAGATCGCGTCCCGCGGCGGCCGCGCGCTGTATAAATCCGCGGCCCCGCAGCGCGAGAAACCCTTCACCGCAGAAACCCTAGAGCTCACCCTAGCGCGCCGCCGCCGCAGCCATCTCCGCCGCCGCTCGTCGGGCTCTCTCCATCTCCCATCCAGGTAAACGGCACACCCCCCTTGGATCTCTCCCTCTCTTAGGTTGCCATTTGGTAGAGTTTTTCTTGTTGATGGAATGATGACGGGTGCTGGAAATGTGCTTCGCTAATGCTAGTGCTGCGATCTGTGATCCTTTTGCTGTGAGATAATTGGTCTTGCTGTCGTTAGTGTTAGCTTCTACGCGTTGGCAGTAGGTTCTTGGATCGAATGCAGCAGCGGGCGTTGGGTTTACTTGAAATGTTCTGTTTTTTTAATGTTACAGTTTCATGTGTGAATCATAGAATATTTGTTTCCGTATTGATGAAATGGACAAAAGTATGGTTAGGATCTGAATATGTAGTTCCACGTTTACGGGATGTGTACAAACTTGTATATGTTGCATTCTATCTCTCCTGATTGGTTGTTACGCTCATTTACTTGCTTTGTCCTTACATGCTAGTGTTATATGTTAGATTCATTCTTTTGCTGTGATAGTTTATTTTGTGGCTAGTTAATGCCATTTATCTGTTTAGACTTTGCATCGCAGTCTTGGTCATTGTCACCTATGTTCGTCCTTTATTCTTAGGAGATAACATGCTTACCGATAGTTGTTAGTCACCTTGGTTGTTTAGATACATGAGGAGTTTCTACAAATCATGATCCATCTGTTAAGTTGAAGTTACATAGTCTGACCATATTTCGTCCTGATTTGTTCAGGATGAAGTTCATTTCTGCCTATCTGATGGCCTATCTGGCTGGCAACTCCAGCCCCACTGCGGAGGATTTGACAACGATTCTGGAGTCAGGTAATTTCATCTCCCTGATTTATGTCCATATTTGAAACTGTTCAGAAAATGTAATCTAGCCAATAAATCTGCTTAACTGGTGTCTACATTTTCTTCTGCTTAATCTGGCTAATTCCATGGCTTCAGAAAGCAGTTTTTTTGGTCTAAATTTCTTAGCATTTAATCGTTAAATTAGAAGGTACCATTCTAAGGTTTGCATTCCTTTCTAAATGTTAGACTATATTTAGATTGATTGGTTTCGTTCTTATCTTCTTGGGTGCTTTCATTAAATATAATATTGAAGTAATAGTCATCCACTTATAGCTGTATGTACTGTGAAATTTGACCTCAATCTTTGTCTTTGTGGCAGTTGGTTGTGAAATCGACAATGCAAAGATGGAACTCCTGTTGTCTCAAGTGAGTGGCAAGGACATCACTGAGCTCATCGCTTGTGGCAGGGAGAAGTTTGCTTCAGTTCCATCTGGTGGTGGTGGTGTAGCTGTTGCTGCTGCTGCTCCTGCTGCCGGTGGTGCTGGTGGTGCTCCTGCAGCTGAGGCGAAGAAAGAAGATAAGGTCGAAGAGAAGGAAGAAAGTGATGATGTAAGACCAATGTTCTTATTTGTCTCAATTAGCATATTTTGCTCATTCATTATGTCTATGGTAGTTTGACATGACTTCTATTCAATGTATAATATCGTATGATTTGCAAACCGTTGCTTCTGCTATGCTTCTTATTGCCATTTAACATTCATGTTTAGTTTATTAGAACAAATACACCTAATGGTAACTAATTTAACTGTTTGCAAATTTATTTACAGGACATGGGCTTCAGTTTGTTTGACTGAGTGATGCGGTCACCTCTTCTATCATCAATACCAGACTTTGCGCAGGAAACTAGAGTGATGATGTTTGGGATTTTAGCTTTTCTTCTTTAGTTAAGTTGAAAACACTTGAGGAAAGACTATGCTTCCTACTATGTTTTGATATGTAGTAACGCAGCCATAGGTTGCTGGTTACTTCACTGGTGAACCATGCTTTTGCTATCAAAATTCAATGCTTAATGGAGGATGAATTGTGCTCGGCAGTAGTTTTTAGCTGTGTTCAATTATGTGTCCCTATTTGTTCGGTGTTATCAGCTCCCAATTTGATTCATTTGAGCTACGTTATCTGTCTATCGTTCATCTTCCGAAGTTGTTTTCCTTTGATTTTCTGTTTTAGAGATTACGATAAGCCAGAAGTTACATCAGTAATAATAAAAAACTTTGGCAATTTTAAACGAGAAAAAAGGCTATTTTTTGCATGCAGATGCAGTAAAAAATCATGTAAACAATTTCTGGAGTCTGGACATAGCAAATGAAAGATTAAGGACATGCGTAGTGGTTAATTTCAAAGTAGTGATAGAATCATAGAATTGCCATACAATCTAATGATCTCTCTCAAAGAGCAAAATATGTAGATGGAAATTATAGGACTGGCATATAATACGAAATGAACCAATCACGAAAGAGCTACTAATAAATTTGCCAGAATTCCATATCTCAAAGAGCAAAATATGGAGATGGAAATTATAGGACTATGGCATATAAATACGAAATGAACCAATCACGAAAGAGCTACTACTAAATTTGCCAGAATTTATTTTTATGATTACTGCTTCAGAATGATAAGAAACAGATCTCTTATATACCCCTGAAATACCCCTGAATTTTGCTTACTTTCTTGTATACCCCAAAAATTTGATTTTGATCCCTTGCATACTCCTCCCGTTAGTTGACCGTATATTTTCTATAAAAATGACCATTTTACCCTTGGATGAATAAAGAAATTCATAAATTACATTATTAAAAATATAAAAGCTTCTCACATGAGACTATTATAGTTATGAGTTTGTTATGTGATACATTATTTATCAAAAAAATATTTTTAGATAATGAAATAAAAAAATACGTATTTATTTTTTTAAAAAAAGGTCATAAAAATGAGGAGCAAGATAGGTATACCAATGTTCACAACATTTTTTTTTATGAATGCTCCTGATAAAAAAAATCCATTGTCCTATTAAAATTTCAAATAAAAATTTTAATTTTTTACATTTATTTTATTTTCAAAATTTATGTCAAAATTTTCTGCACTAATTATTTAGTCTCATTAGTTTTATAAAATGCACACGATGTGCACTCAAACAAAATTTTCAATTGTTTTTGAAGCTTATATTTAAACCTAAAGCATCAAGGGCAAAAAGGACATTTGCAACCAAACGTAACACTGAAATGATGGAAAATGTAACGGTAGGGGCATGGAAGGGATCAATTTGAAATTTCACGGTAGGGGCATGGAAGGGATCAAATTGAAATTTCAGGGGTATAGAAGGGATCGGGTAAATTTTAAGGGTAGGGGCATGGGAGGGATCAAATTGAAATTTCAGGGGTATAGAAGGGATCGGGTAAATTTTAGGGGTATGAAAGGGATTGAGTGAGTTTTCAGGGGTACACAGGGAATTTACTCTTTTAGATGAGAATGATACTCCCTTCGTTTTTTAATAGATGACGCCGTTAATTTTTTTTCTCACATGTTTGACCATTCGTCTTATTCAAAAATTTTATGCAAATGTATAAGATATAAATCACACTTTGTCGGTGATATGGGACCGGGAGTATCATGACCAGAGGCTTGAGGCAGACGCAATCGCCCACGTGGCCTGGCACCTTCGGGGACGTCGGGCCCGAGGGTGAGGTGTCCGCCCTCCTCCTGATTTCCCCCGAGGGGGGGGGGTCGGGTTACGCTTGCCCCGGCCCCGAGGGCCGAGGCACCCCGACCCCTTAAAGAAGTCTGCGCCACATATATGGGATAAGTGAGCACAGCTGTGCTCACCTAACAGCATTTATTACAGTCTGGTCAAGCGTGTCACGCTGCATGTAACGCAGTACAGCACGCTCTTTTATCCGGTCTGTGACCAGTCACAGACCGGTCAGATCAAGGGTTAGGTGGCGACTGGCGGTCTGACGCACGCCTTGCCCCATCCCGTCAAGACGAAAGCCTCTAGGCAACTCGTCTCAAGCCGGAGCTAGCGTGTTATCTCTTAGAGATGGCACGTTAGCCCTGGTCAGATTTATACCAGGCTTCATCCTAACCATTACAGGCAAGATGTTGTGTGAAGAAGGGCAAACATGCACGTTGCTAAGCTGACACGCGGTGGACAAGAATGACCGATTTGTGACCGGTCTGACACTGCTCAGGTCGTCAGCTCACAGCCACGTTCCCGCGACGCGCCTGCCCCCGGCAGAAGTGGAGGTAGGTATGTGCCGTCCCATCAGAAGGACGTTTGGAGGGCAACCGTGCAAATCTCCGTCCATTTACGTAAAGAAGAAAAAGTCCAGTTTGGAAAGGGAAGGGTGCATGTGGTATCCCCTTGAAGTATAAAAGGAGGACCTTGCCCATAGAGAGGTGGGTGGATTCTTGCCAGATTTAGAGCCTAGAGCGGAGGAGAAGTGGACACACTTTGTAGCTCATTCATACACAAATCCACAAAAACACAGGAGTAGGGTATTACGCTTCGGAGCGGCCCGAACCTGTATACATCGCTGTGTCTCGTGTGTCTTGCGGGCGAGTAATCTTTCCACACACAGCGAGAGCTTGAGATCTCACCCTAAGCCCCCGGCCGAACCGGCAAAGGGGGGCCTGCGCGGTCTCCCGGTGAGGAGCCACGAGCTCCGTCATCTGGCGCGCCAGGTAGGGGGCTCAGCGTGTGTTTTCTGAGCTCTCAGACTCTTCCGTGGGCGCCAAGTTTCCCTTGTTCAGCCTAATGGCCGAGCAAGCAAAGGCGCACGACCTCTCTCCGAGTGTGAGCGGCGACGACGGGGAGCCGAATCCACGCCGTCGAGCTCGTACTCCCCCACCTCCTCCGCGCCAAAGCCCTAAGCAGGGGGAGGCGCTTGAGAAGGTCGACAAGTCCATGGCATCACCAGTCGCGGGTGGTGCAGGAGGACGGCAAGATGGGGAGCGCCGCCTCCTCGTATACGGCGACGGCAGCACGCCTCAGGGTGCGCTTCAGGCTGCTGGCGCGCTCTTACGACACCCGCCTGTCGTCCATGACCCGGAGTCTCCAGCCCAACGATGGCTGGAAGATGTGGCCAACTTGGTCATGACGGCTCAGCAGCGCCTGGGTGCTGGTGGACGGTCCACCACCACCAAGACCTCCGGCGCCGCCACCACCGGTTCCGTGTCATCAAGGCGGAGGGCGCGGCGAGCGGCGGCGGCTGCACGTCATTCGGCTGCCACTCCCTCGTCGACACCGTCGACTCGGGAGGATCAGCATGAGAAGCCGGATGCCCGCCTCAACAGCGAGCGCCGGCGTAACAGCCGGCGTACTCCCCGTGCAACGGAGGGCGCCTCCTCGTCCAGAGTGTCACCTCGACATGGACGTGAGGATCAGCCCTCCGTGCCCCCGGCTGGTGGTGTCGGCTGTAGAGCCTTTGTGGCGAGTCTTCGGAATGTCCGTTGGCCCCCAAGGTTCCGGCCCACCATCACCGAGAAGTACGATGGGAGCGTCAACCCCACCGAGTTTCTCCAGGTCTATACGACCGGGATCGAGGCCGCTGGGGGTGACGACAGGGTCATGGCGAACTTCTTTCCCATGGCCCTAAAAGGACAGGCGCGGGGTTGGCTAATGAACCTGCCACCCGCGTCGGTCCACTCCTGGGAAGATCTGTGCCAACAGTTCACCATGAACTTCCAAGGCACATATCCGCGCCCAGGCGAAGAAGCGGACTTGCATGCAGTACAGCGAGGCGATGATGAGTCGCTTCGCTCGTACATTCAGCGGTTTTGCCAAGTCCGCAATACTATACCATGCATCCCTGCACACGCGGTGATCTACGCGTTCAGGGGGGGCGTGCGGCACAACCGCATGCTCGAAAAGATCGCTTCCAAAGAGCCCCAGACTACCGCGGAGCTTTTTCAGCTCGCGGACCGAGTGGCTCGTAAAGAGGAAGCGTGGACATGGAACTCCTCCGGTTCCGGAGTGGCAGCTTCGGCCGCCCCCGGATCTGCCGCTCAGACAGGGCGGCGTGACAGGAGGAGGAAGAAGAGGTCGGACCGTTCCGGCGACGAGGGTCATGTCCTCGCCGTCGAGGGCGCTCCGCGGGCCACCCGAAAGGGGAGGCCTGCGAGCGACAAAAAGAAAGAGGCTGGTACTCCCAGCAGGGAGCGCCCCGCCGGCAGGTGGTGCTCCGTGCACAACACCTCCCTCCACGATCTCGCGGACTGTCGTGCAGTCAAAAACCTGGCTGAGCGAACGAGGAAGTGGGAGGAGGACAGGAGACAGGAACGCCGTGAGGGCAAGTCCCCGGCGGTTCCTTCCGGCAAACGGCGAAGTGAGGCCAAGCAGATGGCCCCCGCTGTTGACATCGATGATGGTGACGATGACCTAGGTTTCCAAGAACCTGGGGCCACCATTGCCACCGTCGATGGAGGAGCGTGTGCTCACGTCTCTCGCCGGAGCTTCAAGGCTATGAAGCGAGAGCTTCTGGCCATGGCCCCTACTCATGAGGCGATGCGTCGGGCGCGGTGGTCAGAGGTTGCTCTCACTTTCGACCAGACCGACCACCCACCGTGCATTGCCCGGGGAGGGCAGGTTGCGATGGTAGTTTCCCCCACCATCTGCAACGTGAAGTTGGGACGTGTCCTCATAGATGGAGGAGCGGCTCTCAACATCCTTTCCCCCGCGGCCTTTGATGCTATCAAGGCCCCGGGGATGGTGCTCCGACCGTCCCAGCCGATCATCGGTGTGACGCCGGGGCACACGTGGCCATTGGGTCACATCGACCTACCGGTCACCTTCGGTGGACCCGCCAACTTCCGCACGGAGCGGGTGAGCTTCGATGTGGCGGACCTCAGTCTGCCCTACAACGCGGTCCTAGGAAGGCCCGCGTTGGTGAAGTTCATGGCGGCTGTCCACTACGCCTACCTCCAGATGAAGATGCCGGGCCCCGGTGGCCCCATCTCTGTCCATGGCGACCTTAAAGTCGCGCTCGCTTGCATGGAGCAGCGCGCCGACCGCCTCGCTGCTGCGTCCAAGCCCGAGGGTGGTGACGAGAGGCTTGGCCC